TACCATGTCATAAATTGAACCTGGTGAAGTAAAAAATATTTAACAAAATCAATGGATAATAGAGATTGATGGCTGTTATTGAGAAGAAGAGTCACTATATTAAGATGTAAATGCTTCAAAGACTTATCATATATTTTTGTTATTTATTCTATTAAAGGTGTTGATCAATTGTTGATGATTTTATTACCTTGATATTGAAGTAAAAAGTGATTTTCTGCTTTTGCATAATAACTTCAGACTGCAGTTTTTATAATAAATCCAATAACTTTAAGAAAACATGTTTAAACTAGCTAAAAATTTAATTCAACCTTTATCTTGATATCTAAATTGATTGTTTAAAATTTGATAATTTTTTTCAAACCAAATTTGAATTATTGAAGTTTATATTATTTACTTAATAACTTCATACAGGGTATAGTTCAATTTGAGTACAGTTACTTATAAATTACTTATAACAAATGCAGGTATATCTATTTTTCTGTAGCATATTTTCTGTAAGTAAAAGAATTTTAATTATTAAGGAACAGACATTAGGTTTAAGAAACTAGAATCCTACTAACTAATTGGACAATTGGCCTTGTGAATAAAAGCATTGGCTAAAAGAATTTGGTTGTAGTGAATTAAATACCTTGTTCAAACAATTGAAAAAAGTAACAGCAACAGCAGAAGAATAGATTAAGAAAAATGAATTGATACACAATAACCCCTATCATGGAGAGTAAAATGGAAGATATATGTGCATGGATTGAATAATGGGTTTTGTTCAAAATTCCCAGAAGGATTATTGAATATAACAGATACCTGAAGAAAACAATAGCAAAATGAATAAATTTGTCTGAATAAATAAATCTATAATATTTTAATAGACTTTAAAAAAAAATAATATAAAAGTATCTTACTTATATAAGAAATAATTGGTGTATGTGATTAGTATTGAGCATAAATAAAGTGATGACAGCAGATAATCTGCACATACAATTGCTTATTTTATCAGTAATCAGTTAAAGTCAGTAGATGTGTTTTAAATGAATGAAATAGAATGCAATGAATATGAATGAACAAAGACTGATGAAGAGACAAACAGTGCATATATGTATATATATATATATATGTGGGGAAAAACGTATGGTAAAGTGGAAACATTTTAAAATGTTTTGTTTGTACAACTACACATCTGCATCTGAACAAGGGGCACTGGGAATTTAATTTTTTTTTTTTAATCTAGCTGCTTTTATTTAGATTCTTTTTCTTTTTAATTCCATCACTTTTGTTAGTAGATATGCCACACTGTTATAATCTCACACTGAAAGGAATGAAAAAAAAATACCAGCATCCCTTATTTGTGCTCATGTGTAGTCAAACCAACATAACAAATTTAGTCCAATGAAGTCCTTTAGAGTGAAACGTGTTGCAAGAAAGCTTTTTCCACTTTGTCATACATTTTTCCCCAATATTGTTCTTGATATATAAAAGTATATATCATTATCTCATGTGTGTGTGTGTGTGTGTGTGTGTGTAAATATAACAAGTTTTGTTAAATTCAACTGATAAAGTCTCTTTTCAATTTTTATGGTATTTTTTTAATTTTCAAATAGAATGTTGTACATTCAAATCAAAACTGTTCAATTTTTTTTTTGTTTTTACTGCTTATGACCATCTCAGTCATGATCAAGAACTCTATTTTGTCAATAAGATAGACAAGATTTTGTTGGCTACTTTCTGGCATTTCTTGGAATGTTACTTTTCCAATTCGAATATATATATATATATAAGTAACATTATGTCTAGAATGGTTTCAGCTTCAGATAGGTTGACCGCACTAAAGAAATCAATGTATCAAATATTTTATACATATTACTATTATTTTACATGCATATTAAGTATTTTATGCACACTTTAAAATACCATCTTCTGTATTGAAAAATATTTTATTTAATACAGGCTGTTTCTTTTGTATAATAACAGCATTAAGTATTTTGAGCATTTCCTTTCTATCTAATATTTGTTTTATTATCTACTAATATTTGTTTTATGCTATTAGTCATATTTTGACTATTTATAATATGAATGATTGATATGTTATTGATTGTTATTATTATACTTTTGTGAGTGACAAGTTAACCTATGAGAGAGTGCGGTTTTTATGTAGCCTTCTTTTGTGCTGTGTCTCTTCAGGATGAGGGTGATCATGATGCTGCACAACTTTCTATCCTTTGTAGCTGTTTGTAATGTTTGTTTTCTTACTATACCTACCACTCCCTGTTCTGCCATCCATTTGCACAAGCTGGTTAGGTAGATTACTCTCACGGTTTCTCTCTTCCCCTCCCCTTGTATAATTCTCCACACCATCTTTCCTCATCATGTCCAAGAAATTTCAAATCCTTAGCAAGAGTGTTCTTTTTGTTCTCATTTTTCTTATATCTTCCCCAATGCTCACATATCCCATCCATTCAGAATTCTGCTGTAGAATGGCATCACTGTAGCCTCAAGTTTCAGTTTCCTGTGTAAGGAAATTGTCCATTCACTGCCAAATAGGAGAATTGATATTAAATAATTGTTGAGTACTCTTATCTTTTTTTTTCAACAAAATTTTCCTGTTTCCTAATATTTTGTTTAATTTATAGAAGACATCCTCTGTTATTTCAATGTGCCATCAGATTTCTGTGTTACTTCCTCTAGTAAGAACATTTCCTAGATAGTTAAATTTCTGTACTGGCATTATTTCATTTAGTTTACATCTTCAGCTGTTCCTCTTGCTTATGGCCATACATTCTGCCTTACAATTGATGATTTGTACTTTCTTTTTTCTTTTACTACCTCATCTAGACGTACCTGCAGCTTTCTTTCTGCATCTGCCATCAGTATGATGTCATCTGAATATATTTTTCATGCTGTACACACCCATAATAAATCATGGCAGAACATCTATCTCTCTTTAGATAATCTCACTGTAAAGGTTAAATAAATCCATTGAAAAGACATATCCTTGTCTTATGACCCCTTTCTGTTTTTGTGTACCTGATCAATTCATTTTCTATCTACATGCAGGCAGTTATTTCCCAGTAAATACTGTGGATGATTCTAATATCTTTCACAAATAAATCAAATTTTCCTAGCAGCTCAAATAGATCTTAGTGTTGTACCTTATCAAATGCATAGTCTATGTGCCCAATATATTAATTAGAATATCTACCATAAGACAGCATGCTTACTTTGTCAACCAATTTGCTACTGCAGGGGGTTCAGTTCTTTCTGAGTTCTGAACTAGTGTGAGCATATGTCAATTTAAATTAAGCTTAGTAAATAACTATCAAATATTACTTTGTTGAGTATGAAAGTACTTAAGAAAAAAATGTGAAAAAGAAAATAATCTAGAAGATTATAGCATATGGGCTCCTTAAAACCATTTTTGAAGTAAATACAATCACAGATTGTTTAGTTAGTAGGATTTCTAACAGTAAAGAGGATAATCTGTCTCTTAGTTCCTGTTATGTCATCAAACTTACTATGAGTTTTAATCTATTGAATTATGTTACACAATATGATTATTGTATCCTATATGTAGATAGCTTTTAATCATTTTATATATCAACAATACCATAGCCCAATAGCTATTTGCTAAATTTTGATTAAAAAAATTTCTACTGTATAATGTTGGATTCATATGATTAATATCTAGCACTGAATAAAATATACTGACCAATAAAGATATTTTTAAATATTAAATCAAATACTTTTTTAAATATTAAATCAAATATTTTTTTATGTCAAACTTATTGAGTTACCTACATAGCTCTGTGTACTTCATATATTGTTATATCTTTTTAAGAGTTTATATATATATATATATATATATATATATAAATATATATATATATATATATATATATGTATGTATGTATGTATGTGTGTATGTATATGAGAGGGATCTGAAAATGCACTACCTAAAATCTGACCAAATGACTAAACATCAGATTTTGGTTGGAAGCATTTCTGGAGTCAGGCCAAAAGCTGTTCAGCCAATCCATGTATATAAGTGCACAAAGTCATCATGGTTGAAACACAAGAAAATAATACAAAGGAATTGGCATAAATTTCTTATCTCCTATGACATGTGTTAATCATGCTGTGAAAATTACAATTTGGAATTTAAGTTCTTATTATATCAATGATAATGATCTTAACTAAAAGTGCTGACAAAGTTGATACTGTTGAAGTTTTTCTTTGTATGAGAATCTCTCTTAGAGAACTGACTTAATAACAAGTATACAATATGAAAATAGTTTCTTTTTCATATTCAATATGTTTTCTTTAATATTCAAGGCTTTGAATAGAAGGAAATTAAGTGTTATTTTATTTTCTCCATCAGTACAGAAGATTCAGTTGCTTTTGGGGAGGTGGATTTTACATCTCAACATATACAGTCATCCTTTTATTGCATAGGAGAAATGTTATACTCTGCTTCAAATAAAACCTCTTTGTGATTCACTTCACATCAAACCCTGTCAGCCAAATATCAAGGCTATGAAAGCAAAATTAAAACTAAAAAAAAGTAGTTCTCTGCATAGGGACTCTGAGAATTGCATCTGGCTTACAAAATAAACAACCAAAAATATAAAATAAAATTTAAACATTGGAGCCAATTGCAAAAATCATTACTAAAGCAAAAGCATGACAAAAAATATGCTATGTCATGTATCCACCCTGACTGCTTAAAAGGACCCACTTGGTGACACTCAAGACAGTATACAGAATTCATCCCTTAGTCAACTGACCCAGGACCATACACAAACTCTCTCATCTTCTAGGTCACCATCTTTGCCTATAAGAGAGACATTCTGCTTTGACCCATTACACTGGTAATACAAATAATTTTAACATATTTGTTTCCTTTCTTTCTGCCTCTCCAGTAATACTTTGCTCTTTTCATTTGTTACTCTTCCAACTATATGTGGTATATAACAGAAATGTAAAACATGCAAAGATATATTATTCTACCCTCATGAGAACAGATTAGACAGACATTTACAGTAATTGATAAAATGTGTACACACATAGATAGATAGATAGATAGATAGATAGATAGATAGATAGATAGATAGATAGATAGATAGATAGATGCAAAATCTGATTAGAACATTCATATGTTGAAATTGCAATGGTGCGCTTCACCATTTTTCTTATACGAGGAAACATTTGGCATTCATTGACCAAACAGAGTCACTGTTGATTGAAACTTATAAAATCTTTCTCTCAAAACAGTTTTTCATGAAAATAGGTTTTGCAAGTCCACTAACTGTTATTGCTCTTTCAAGTATTGATGAGGGCTTCCTTCCTAACCATTTCTTTTAACTAGCAGGAAAATTCAACATTTTCATTATGTCATTATTTTCTCTTTGAGTTACTTATGCTATCGACTTTAGATATTGTGACTGTTGTCTAAGTGATTGCTATTTGTAACATTGTGCCAATTTTAGCAGAAGACCAAAAATGATACTTGCAACTGCACAGATTTAGCAGTATTAATCAATATATTAAGTGAATGGTATGTGTTGATATTAATTTGGATGCATAAACACTGATGGAATGGTCAACTCAAAAGTATGTATAAAAATATATATGTTTCAAATTTGCTATATTTCTTAGGGAAGAATGCTAATAAAATAAAATTGATAAATAAAATAATAATAATGAATAATAAAAAAGTAAAAGAAACTGTTTCCTATGATGCTAAGAGTAAAGAAGCTGGAAATATGATTACTACACTTGGTTCTAGATGGCATTGATGAAGCTTATAAAAAGGCAAACATTTCCTGTCCCACTCTCTTTCTCCCCTTTGCTCCAAGATATGATTCATGTGGTAATTATGTTCCCACTGCAAAATATTAGTTTCCTCAATTCACTGATGACTGAACTCTCTTCGCAATTTCTGACGCATGGCACCTGCACATGTCTTCCAAAAACCTCAACCAATGAAATAGGTTAAGATTTCTCTCTGATTGTTCCAACTCAGCGCAAGGTTGACTTGAGCACAACCACATTAATGATGCATGTACTGACTTACCCTAACTTCTGGACCAAGAAAAAGAAAATGGATATCCCATAACCATGTTTAATCTTCTAACAATAAAGTAAGCAGATCTTTCCTTTGGTTGTTCCACCTCTGTGCATGGCTGACTTGATCTCAACTATGAATACAATACCTATACTTACCTAACCTAACTTCTGACCAAAAAGAAAATGGAGATACCAAAGAAACATTGAGAACTTTGTTCCACTACAGTCACCATTTCTGTAGTAGGAACACATTTTTGTATGCTTCTTCTATCTTCCTTATTTACATATTGAATACACACCTTCATCTAAAATACACACAATTCTGCCAACCTAGATAATGCTCAGTATCAAAGATAGAATGTTTGTAGATATAAACAGTGTGAACATCTGATGATCCGATGATTGCTTAAGGCAGGTAATTGTTAATCATCATACAGCGTTGATTTCTATATATCTGTGTCCAGACAAATGCTATATATTATATAATCTCATACCTATGCAGATGCAAAAGACAATATATGAATGTGTTTGTTAATAAATCTGTTGAGAGTACAGACTTTCGCAGGAGCAGGTTATGGAACTAGTCCATTTGTGAGGTGCAGAAAGTGTTTGGTTCTTGTAAGATAGTATCAGCAATTATTAATTATTCTGAGTGCTGTCCAGAATAAAGCAATCTTAACCCAACATACAATGCAATGATTAAGCAAGACATTTAAATAAGTGAATTTAAAATGAACCAGAATATAATGATTTGTTCATCAACAAATAACAATTTATTTGTGTATTTTATACACCATGTGGTGAATATAAAACCCTTGAAAAGAAGAGTAAGTTCAAATATACACATTTCAAAGGGAAAAGATAACATACATATATTTAGGTGTGTTTAATGAAAACCCTTTGAAAGGGGAAAGTTACATACACACATTTAGATGTGTTTAAATAAAATCCATGAAAATGGAAAAATTCAAAGACAAAATACATATTGAGGCATATTTAATAAAACCCCTTGAAAGGAGAAAAGTTCAAAGACCAGACATACATTGAGGTGTGTTTAATAAAATCCCTTGAAAGGATTCATTGCTGACTCTACATCAGAGAAGCATGAAATGTTTCAGTGGATCAGTAAATCGGTTGAGTTGACAACGCATAATCTATTCATCAACTACACTTGTTTGCTATATTATCTGTATTTATAGCTTCCCTTAAGTAGGTGCTGCTTCACAAAAAAAGTCCCTTGAAAATGTGAAGAAAATGCTCTCAGTGGTCGATTAATAATTTTGAATGTTTACAATGCTGCCAGGAGTATTATTCAGAGCTTTATGCATAAATAACTGGTTTTGGTCATTTGACTCCTGGCTGTTGAGATAGGAAATTCTGGTTGACCCAACATATCTCTATAAAAAGACAACTGTATATTGTTTTACATTGCTAAAGAATTAAAATTTTGTAAATGAACTTGATTCAAGTAATAAATATCAAAGAAAAAACATTTAAGTAATTCTATTTTTAAAAGAATCTGTGAATGTAACAATAATTACTGTATTCCTGTAGACATAAGATGCACGTTTTTAAACCAAAATTGTGTCCAAACATCTTCTGCATCTTAATTTAGAACTTTTCCCAGGTCTCAAAATGGATAAAAAAATAATCTAATCAAATTGGATTCACTTGTTTACCAGAGAGATAATATCTATCAAATTGTTATACTGCATTGCAATTAGATCTCTTTCTCAGGTGTTGATTTCAACATTAAAGAAGAGCGTGCATCAAACCACACCAATGGATTTCATTGAGTCTAGGCCTATGTGAGTCTTGAAATCATTCCAAGGTAAAAATTTCATTTATGTTAAATAATTACAGAATGATGCTTAATTTCAAAATAAAAATTATCGAAAACAATTTGTTATTGAAAAGCAATTAATGATTTTCACAATAAACACCTTTGACAAGTTTTGCAATCAACAAATTACCGACTTTGATGTTTTCTGCTCATGCCACTGATTATGAGAACCTTGCAAAGGTGTTGAGAATAAGAAGTCTGAGAAGTGCATATTATACATAAAAATAAGCTTTTATTTCTATGGAATTTTCTTGCTTTTTTTTTTTTAACTACATCTTATACTCCCTAGCAATCTATACTCCCTAGCAATCTATACACAAAGGATTACTGTATCTTGTTATTCTGTTCTTTTTATTATTATTCTCTTATTCTTTTTATTACTCTTCAATTCTTAACTCTCTTATATTTTACATTATCTTCAATATGAAAAAAAACAATGTCATGGTTAAATATTGAACATATATATTGATGCTATTAAGATGTGGCTTTATTTATTGTCATGGAATGGTGTAGAGTGTTCTTCATCATTCATTACTGGATTCATAAGTAATACAGTAATTTGTGATAACTGACTCAATATTTTTTTGTTAGTGAGTAAGAATACTGAAAGCATTATTGACATTATGCACACAAACTCCTAATGTATCTGTAGATAGTGTGGCATTTGGTAACAGTTGTACCAATATGTGTAGGACCAAGAAGCATTATATACAGTATAAGAACACTACTAGGAAGAACCATACACATATATCCTCAGTTGCTCAAATCACTGTTTCTAATCTTATTACCTGAGGCTGACAGAGAATAGAAAACAGAGGTATCATCTGTGGCATTTGACATCAGTTATCAGTTTAAAGTTGATTGAACAGAAGGTGCTAACAATGAACTAGTGTTATCTCATAAATTAAGAGTAATGTATTCTTCTTTGCTAGACAAATAAGTGTAAAAAGCAGCCAACCTTGAGGCTACAGATTTGACTTAATCATCAATTAGTTAATAAAGATGGAGATCATGGGGAAATAAATAGAAGTCCTCAAAACAAACAAAAGACAGCTACTTAATGATATTTAATCCCTTGACTTGAATTCCCTACAGATAACACCATGCGTAGACAATTTGTCATTCTCAGATGAAGTCCTGTAAAGAAGATAATCAGCAGATTTTACTTTAGTTTTGCTAATAATTGGGACAAAATGCCTGAACCAGAATTATTGCATATTTAAATGTCTACTGATAACTGTTTACTTTAGTTTGTGATGAGAACAATATTGTTCAGATTAACTGATGTGGAACTTGTCAGTTGTTAAACTTTGAATCAATAACATATATTTCATTCTCAGTGACCTTTTATTAGAAGTTTTAATATGAAGCAGCCAAGCCATAGACTGTATGTATTGATAAAGACACAAGATTGATATTGCTTTTAAAAGAAAAGCGTAGAATATAAAATAAACTGACTTTTTAACTTTGTATATTCTGTCTGCCTCTTAATATAAGAAATAGCACAGTAGATATTATTATTATGCTAAATTGTTTATATTTTTCAGGACAATATTCTCATTGACTGTATTTTTCAGTGTATAAGATACATTTTTTTACCCCAACATTTTATTTCAAAATTTGCTCTGATTCTAAACACCAAATGTATGCATAAAAGTGATACAAATGGGTTGTGGATCAGAGAAAATAATGAATATCTGCTTTTTATAAATATAAGTTTTAAAGCAAAGAGATTCCATGAGATAATAGTTTAGAAGATTTTATTGGTCATACATTATAGTGTGATCAGTTCATAAAATACAATGGCTTAGTTAAAAAAATAAAACTGGACAAAGGAGAAGACTGACATTTGCATAAGTGTGCATGTGGGTGAGGAATTCATGGAGAAAAAATAAAAAGTCATTTAAGAAATGAGGTAGCACAATGGCTGTGATTGAGAAAAGTATTCTTTTTTATCATAATATTGAATCCAATTGAAACATAGAAAGCAGTAAATAAACCTATTTGACAGGTTTCTCAAAGACAACAGCAATAATTACTAGGAGCAACAAGAAACAGGAAACTGTGAAGAGCCATGATTATCCATGTCCCAAAGAATGGTAGACTCAGTTATTCTTATTATTTTTCTTTTATCATTTTACTTAAAGCATTTTATATAATTATCTTGTGATTTTTATTGTCAATCAAATAAGAACAAGTCTCTTTAGAGTATTTTTGCTAATCGCAA